CCCTAAGACATGACTTGGGCACTTTCTAAGCACAAACTTCCCAGATGCCTTTTCATAGAGTCAGCGACAGTCCACTTATTCTCAGGGGAGCTCAAAAAAAAAAAAAAGTTAGTCTTCTCCTGGAAGTTTGGAAGAGCCATTTTATGGGAACTTTAAGAGTGAATGCTTTTCCAGTTTTTCTTGCTTTCTCATTATAGAAATGGACTTTCACTGAATAAACACCAAAGAACCCCAATTCATCATTTTCTCAGGGGAAAGCAGTGGACAACTCATGAAACAAAGGCTTGCCTTGGTCTCAGAATGAGGTGGTTGCTAAACCAGACCTCCAGCTTACCCATCAGGACCTAGAGTTTCCTTGTCCTGAGCAGAGCCGGTCTCTAGGAGCTGCTTGTACTTGACCCAAGATTGTGAATGCTTTCTAAGTGCTGGTAGGAGACCAGCATTGAGTGTGATTTTACAGGTCATAGGACTGATGCATGGTGTCAATAAATTGCCTCTCTCGGAGATCAGAGCTCAGGATGGAAGTTCATGCATGGATCTGGTTACATCTCACCATGCCATGGAGTACACATTGTGTACAAGAGAATGCTCCTCCAACACACACACACCTTTTTCTACAGTGGTCAGTGGAAGCAACTCAGGCAACAGAACAGGGAAGAGCCACTCATCCCCCAGTGCTGCTGAGTGAATTAAGTGGCATAACCAAAAGGAGATGCTTGGCTCCACCATTATAGCATGTACGACCACTGGGTCAGAGTGTATAATCAACTTTGCATTGCTCCCAGAACTGTTGGCTCAAATGCAAGGTTAGGATGGAAGGCACAAGATCATCAGTAGAGGGGCAGTGAGCGGGAAGGGGTGTTAGAGAGGGAAGGGTGACATAAATAGCATCCCTAGTCGTATAATAATGGTCAAAGGAGCTGGGACAGGAAACAGCATGAGGCTAATCCAGCACTGATTTCTTTGAAGCAGTTTGCACTGCCTCTTTCAGCTGTTACATATACTGAAGGAGTGAAACCAAATGCAGAGGAATCGCTTGACTTGCAGTTTAGGATGGGAAGGAATGTCAGCGAAAGTTTCCTGCACTTGAAGATTTGAGACGCTTTTGAGAAAGGGATACTGCCCCCCCCCATTGTAATACCCCCTCTCTGAAACCTGAGCATAAATTGAACAGTGCACTGAAAATGACCCTGAGAATGGTCCATGACATGGGATGCATTTGCTGCCTTTCGAATAGTGGAAAATGAGTGCGCCTACAAACCAAACTTATTATGTCACTCTATACTTATTCCTTAACTCATTGTAGCTGTTCATTATAGACACTAGGGCACGTACTAATGTAGGACTAACATCTGAATTTTCTCTGGTCCCTTTGGCCTGAACGTCTGACCAAGGCAAGATTGGGTGTCCCAGTGGGCTCTCCGATCCCACTGCCTTGCTCACTGCTCCTCAGCAGACCATGTGTATTCCTGACCCTGAACTTTTCTCCCCTTTTTACTCAGAGCCTTTCTGTCTTTCAAGACCCAGGCCAGGCTTCTGTTTCATCTGGTTCTTTTCACTGTTATCACAGCCCACACTGGTCATGCTCTGTTCAGGATTTCCGTTACAGCCAAAATCTGTTTTGCACATAATTGTTCTGTAATGCTTTCATAGGTCTGTTTTGTCATTCCCAGACAGGCTGTAAGTTCCTGAAGAACAGTAATCATGCTTTATATTTATTTTATTGACCGTCCGAAGCTCTTGGCACAGGGCGGATGCTTCATGGCGGTTCCCTAGCTAACTGAGATGTTCCTACGATACATCACACTGTATGGAGCCCTTTGAGACTTAGGAAGTCCGTGCCATTATGCATTCGGTTAAATGAATGCTGGATGAAACATAATATGATCCCAGTTTTGCTGTGTGTGTGTGTGTGTGTGTGTGTGTGTATGGTGCGAAGACACAAAAGACTAGGAAAAATGCTGCAAAATCTCAACAGTATTATCTCTGGTTACTCAGATTAGTGTGAATTCCTTATGAGTTATGCTCTTCAGTACTTCTGTAAACTACTTACAAGGAATATTTTTGGTTTATGGGAAGTAGGTCTACTCTAACAGAATATTAGGAATGAGTGAGGTAATGAAATTGATAATTATTGTTATCATAAGAAGCTCAGTACAGTGAAACGGAAAGTTTGTGATGAATTCGGGTTGGACGCCTAGGATTCTTTGTGGGTCTATTCCAGTGTTTCCCAAAGTGTGTTCCAAGGGGCACCATTCCTACCACAGGTGTTACATTTAAATAATATGGGAAATAAGGGCGCCTGGGTGGCTCAGTTGGTTAGGCGGCCAGCTCTTGATTTCAGCTCAGGTCATGATCTCACAGTCATGAGACGGAGCTCCACGTCAGGCTCTGCACTCAGTGAGGAGTCTGCTTGAGATTCTCTCCCTCCCCCCTGCCCCTCCCCAACTCGTGCATGCATGTGCACGCACTCTCAAATAAATAAATCTTTAAAAATATTAATAATAATATGGGAAACACACATTCTATAGCTGTGGAAATTCACAATGTCCATTAGCCCTGAGTATTCTTTTTTTTTTTTTTTCCAAAGAGTTTATTTATTTATTTGACAGAGAGAGAGAGACAGAGAGAGAGGGGACACAAGCAGGGGGAGTGGGAGAGGGAGAAGCAGGCTTCCCGCCGAGCAGGGAGCCCGATGTGGGGCTCGATCCCGGGACCCCGGGATCATGACCGGAGCCGAAGGCAGACGCTCAACCATCTGAGCCACCCAGGCGCCCCTAGCCCTGAGAATTCTTAAAGCAAAGGAACCTGGCTCTGATCTACCTAGTATTCCAAACTTTTTTGATCATGGAATCCTTTTTGCTTATAATGCCTGTTAACATGTTGGGAAGCATTGTTCTGATTTTTAAAGAATAGCATAGATTTTAGTTTTGAATGTCTTTGTATTGCTTGTATATTATTGAATATTCCCTTGGTTAAATGATCTGCAAGGGTGACAAAGTTAGGAGTTTGACTTCTTTATTCCAAATCTGTGGGAGCATTTTAACACAACATCACATGATTTGGTGACTTTCTCTGTCATCGTACCAGGACACAGCATCTGTCATTACTTCATTAAGTTTTAAAACTGTATTTGCCACAATGGAGAACTAAATGAAGAAAACAAGCCGCAAGCCTGAATTTACTCACCCTCCTCCAGAGTCCATCTTCAGTAGGAAGTTAGTCGTGGGAAACTGTATTTTCTTTTTCCGCAGATTTTTTTTTTCATTTCCCTATGAGGTTTTGATAGTGGTAATGATAGTTGAGAGATCACCCCCAGCACTGCTTGGAAATTATCCCAATAATGAAGGGTTGCAGGGCTAACCCACAATGTCAGGTAATCGGTGTATAAATTGAAATGTGCGTGCTTCTATCTGAAATTGAATTTGCCTTAAGTTGTGGGTATTCATTGGGAACGACGTCCAGACATCCTGGTGAGAGGGCATAACACAGAAGGATGGGACTCTGCCTTGCTTTTGCCGTTCTGTGCCTCTCCCTCCCCTCCATCCCATGGCAGAAACACACAATTTGCTGGAAGCTCAGAGGGTGGTTATGCATTTGATTTTCCAAACGCTTTCTGGCTATCCTATATACTCACGTGAGAAGAAAGAGGAAGAGGGACATCAAACATTAATAAAGCGGGTAAGGAAGCACAATATAGATGGGGTCAAGTAGGATTGGGGCCAGTAAAGGATGTGATCTCTCCCTCACTAGTCACGTAAGGCTTGGGATTACCTTTGGCTAAAACAGATACAGCCAGGGCTGGCCGTTCATCATAGGATTAGCTAACGTCTGTATAAGAGGCTACTTTCAGGATTTTGCCTCGTGGATTTATTATGTTTTAGAAAGTGTGATATACAAAGCTTGGTTTAATGTCATTAAACAAAATACACAGAGTATATGTGACCCCGGTGTATTTTGCACTATCTCGTGTACCCCCGTGGTGGAGACCGCCTTTTAGCACTGGGCGCCCCCATTCCGCCAGGTGCCAGGCTGAACGGAAGAACGGCAAGTACGCTATCTCCCGGAGGTTTGCATCTGTCCGTAGTTACGCCCTATGCGAGGTACAGCTCTGTTTAAATTTTCCAGCTGACTGACACGCACACAATCATGAATGAAAACCAAACAGTGGAAAATAAGGTCTTTTCAGCCCCTCGCGGGCTGTGGGAACAGCGCCGCAGAGCCACGCTGCGGGCTGTGGCCTGGTTTCCAGAAGTCACGTGGCTTAAAATGGAATGTCTGAGGCCTTCCACGGCGGCCGCTGCCAGAGGCTGTGGTTTTTAAGTAACACTTCGACGTGCAACTGAAGGCCATCAGCAGGAAGATGAGACAGATAAAGAGGGGAGAGAGAAGTCTCTTTTTCCTAGGCACGCAAAATAAGATGAGCATCTCGGCATCTGTGCCTTTAAGTAACAGGCTGGAGGAGCTTCTTGCAGTGTCCCGGGAGCTTTTAGAGGTCAGGGCCTATGACCTTCGCATGCAGGCATCCCCAGCCCCTGGCATGCCCACTGCCCTGTGGGCACAGCAGGACTTGTGAGCAGGCACAGACCAGGGCGGAAAGATTTCAGCCTGTGTGTGTTGGACAGGTGTTTCCCAAACACTGATGCGCGCACAGATCACCTGTTGAGATGCAGCTTCGGCTTCTGGGCTTCTGGGGTGGGGCCTGAGATGCTCCGTTTCCAGCAAGCTGGGGGGGTGGGTGCCCATGCTGCCAGCCCAGGGACCACACTGTGAGGGTCAGGATCCCGGAGGATAACTAGACCAGTGAAAAATGTCTTCCGTTTAAGTTTTGTTTCAGAAAGCTGCCTCCACAGCCCCTCATCCCCCCCCGCCCAGGGCGGCTGGCCGTGACAGTGACAGTGGGGTCAGGTGCCTCCTGGCTCCCGCCCGCGCCTTGGTCTGGGGCGGCGAGGGGGAGGTGTGCAGGCCCCCCAGGTAACCAACCCCTTCTCTTCCCCCAGGGGAGGAGCGCCCCCGGGACTCCCCGGGCCCGGCGGAGGCCCCGGCGCTGGCTGGGGCGGAGGCCGGCGGCAGAACGAGCCACCATTGCTGGAGATGCTCCCGGGCGCAGCTCAAGAAGATGTTCTGGGGCGTGGCGGTGGTGCTGTGTGTGTGCTCCTCCTGGGCAGGCTCCACGCAGCTCGCCAAGCTGACCTTCAGGAAGTTCGATGCTCCTTTCACCCTGACGTGGTTTGCCACCAACTGGAACTTTCTGTTCTTCCCCTTGTACTACGTGGGGCACGTCTGCAAGTCGGAGGAGAAGCAGTCTGTGAGGCAGAGATACAGGTAGGCAGCTCGTGGACGGCAGGCCCTGAGCTCTGGGCTGCTCTCCTGAGTGCTGGTGCCACTGGGCTGTCCGGAAGCTGGCGCTGTGTTGGGCCGGTGGGAACAGTGGTGAGAGGTCCCAGAGTCCCCTGCTGTCTGAGCGGGGCCAGGATCGGGATTCTCTCCCCGGCCCCTGGGGCGGTGAACACCTGCTTCCTGTGTCTTCCGCCCTGAGAACTCCTTTATACAAAACAAAAGGCAGCATCTTCTAGAGAGAGCCTGTGGTAGGTCCCCAGAAAGGGTAGAACAGGGACAACTCTGTAGCTCCGTTACCCCTCCTCAGGCTGGGGTGAGCAGCGTGAGTCCCTGGAGCCAGGTGACATGGCTGCTTCCTGTAACTTACCTTCCTTCACGGAGATGTTCGCTGCAAAAAACTGATTACTCATTCTCCTTCCAACCCAAGACATTTCCTCCTTTGGTGATGTGATTGCATGGGTCTGATTACCCGGCAGTGTGGCTCTCAAAATCAAAGCAGCGTCTGAACGTCGTTGACTCTGCTTTCTCATATGGAGCCCACTGCTATGACCTCCCTTTCACCAAAAAGCCAGAAGCCCTGACAAGCCCTCCAGCTCAATAGAGAGCAGGGTACCCCCAGCCCTCCTCGGAAGTCAAATTGTTGGTGTTGACCTTGAGTCCTCATCCTAGGCCAATTGTGGGATCTCATGGTTTCCCTAATTGGAGGCCCTCTGTGGGCTGTGTCGAGGGCTTCCTGCTGGCCCAAATCAGAACTACTCAGGAAAAAAACCAGGAAAGAATACTGGCCAAGGTGACCAGGTGGGCCCTGAGAGCTTAGCTTTGGTCAGCCCCAGAGGTGGGGAAAAAAAATTGAAAGTTGAAGGTTCTTTACTCCTTTACCACTGCCTTCTTTCCCACTTCACCCCACCTCACCAGACACATGTCCCATAAAACCACCACGCCCTGCCGTACCATCTGCTTCAAGCTTCAGCCCTGTTCTGAAGTTGCCACCAGAAGTCACAAGATAAGTAAAAACAGGGAGCAAAGAGTTTGGGGAATGGAGGTCTAGACCCGGGTCAGGATCTTTCTGTGGGAACCTACCATTAGATGTCCCTATAAAGTTACAGGTGGAGGTGTGAGGTGCCCAACTTTTGTACGGTTCAGAGAGAATTCGGACTGGCTCCTTTGTTGTAAGTCAGACCACTGATTCTAGAGGAAGGGGCTCCAATGGAGCACGGACTGAGTCACAAGGCAGCCTCACATGTCCCCTTAGTGGAAAGGATTCAGAGCAAAATCTGGGGACAAGGTCTGGGGCAGGAGTAAGGAGACTAGAGCCCAGAACCAGGGCCCAGGCCTGGGGCATTCTCAATATTAAATTAAACCAGTGGCTTATGGACCAGCCAGAAATTGCCAAAGAGGTGCTTAATACAACTCTCTTGAAGAGCAGCCAAAAGCAGACAGGTTTAGAAACTTTGCTAGGGCCCACGATGGTCCCCAGGGCAGGAGGAAAATAACGGTCTGCTTTTGGTCACAGACAAGAACAGATATTCAGTAAACGATGTACTTAACAGTCGTGTAGCTCTGAGCATAGTTTGTGATTAGAAGTTTGCCTTTCTTTAAACTGACTAGAATATTGAGCTCCTTCTTCTTAACAAAGAGCTCAAAGTGAGCTGCTGTGGCCTTTCTTGAGAGAGAATCACTGGCAGAGAAGGTGACAAGGGTTTCCCTGCTCCCTTCACCCCTGCGTGCTGAAACGAGGCCTCTCCTGAGGGCAAGACGGGCTGCCGCCTTAAACACGTATCCCCCTCGTGACCACTGCTCACCTCGGGACAAGACAGGCACTGCGGGCCACTCAGGCCAGGCCCCGCACCCCTTAACTGACTGCTGAGAACAATACAGAAGGAACCGCGCTCAGTGGTGATTAAAGAGTCCAGGTGGGAAAAAGGAGAGGTCCCTGAAGTGGATTAGTTCAACACAGACATCAGTCAGCACAACTTCGGCTCATTGTCTCCCTGTACAAAGTGTCTGGGAAGGACCGTGAACAGATTCTGGAGGTGGAGTCAGCTGGAGAGCAGTGATGGGAGGGCCAGTAATCACAACGTGATCAGGGAAGCCAGCTAAAACCCTGCCCAGTTTCTACAATAAAGCTTAGCTCCACCTCTTTAAAAAAAAAGTCACAAAACCTTTCTTGAAAATCAGCTCTGAGCAGAGCTGCCCCATTTATCAACCGGTTACTGGGTAGCTGGTCCAGCTGCGCCCATAGCCGTGGGGGGGCAAGGAGGAATTCTTCCTCAGGAAAGGGAGAGAGACATTTTCACATCACCGACTTGACTCGGGAGATGGTGACTCTGTCACGGCGACATTGGGAGTCCTCGAAACAGACTTGGGGATTCCTGGAAGTCAAGGAAAACTGAAATCACCTCTTCCATTTTGGGGCTTTTGTCAGAATTAGTGCTGGCGAGGGAAAGATCTAGAGGCAGCTGAGGAGTTGTGTCTCTGGCTAAAAGAAGTGTTTCAGCAAGAAACTAGGCAGAAAAGAGCAAAGGTAGAGACCTTTATCACAGAGAGGGAAGCGGTGAAGGTGGGTCTTCCTGTGGCTGTCAGGAAGCAATCAGATGGAAGGTTCTCTGCCCCAAGCCCTCCCCTGCTAGGCTAGGTTTCCCCAGCATGAAGCTAGAAAAGTCAGCCAAGGCAGAGGGGAAAGCAGCCATTGCCCAGCGCAGAGCCCCTGAACCCCAGCAAGTCTACCTGAGATCTCACTGAAGGGCGGACGCTGATTGATTTGGTCGGTCTGGGTGGATCTGAGATTCTGCTTTCCTCACGAGCTTCCCAGGGGTGCTGCTGGAGCTGCTGCTGGCCCAAGGGCCGCACTTTGACTCTAACAGCCCTGGGGACACGTGTGAGACTTAGCTGCAGGTTTTTAAATGCTGCCAGTCTGACCAAATGCAGGAGCCAGGATTCACCGTACCATGTAGCACTGATGAGTGACTCACTTCGGGCCCCGGGGATGTTTGAGCCCCGGTCCTGTGCCACTTTAGAGGGAGGAGAGGCTCCACGGGCGATCACGTAAGCTCTGGGAGCCTCAGGTGCTCATTTGTAAATGGAATTTGATGACACATGCACCGTCTCGCCCACGAGATTGTTGGGTGATCAGATGAGACACCGTACAGGCAAGTGCCCTATCAGCTGTGAAATGCCATTAAAATGTGAGGAACTGTCACTGCCCTGTGCTGTCGTCTGTGGGTTGCAGCCAGGGATGTAGCCCAGGCCTCGTTCATCGGGCGCCTTGCGGTGATCTATTCACATGACAGGAGTGGGTGCAAGTGCTAAGCCTGCAGGGTCATGCAGGGGTTATTCCTTGGAGAAATCCGCTCCGGATGCACAAGGCATCCTAGGATTGACCCGGGCTTCTCATGATCGGGCACTGTTGTCAGGAATTAAGAGTGTGAACGTGAAAACCCCCCAGCCCAAGCATCCTGGGTTCCCAGTCTCAAGCCTGTGGTCCCCTCGTGTTTGCTGACATGCACCAAGGAAGCAGCAATGCCCGAGACCCAGGACAGGCTCTGGCCATGGAGATGCGTGTGGGTGCTGTAGAAACTGCCGGCACAACCTGACAGGGGTGTCCCCGGAGTCTCCTCCACAGCTGGGCACCTGGGGAGGAGGCTGCATCAGGTCCGTGCTGGTATGACTTTCCGGGACAGGAGGACAGCTTCTCAGATCCCAGGGGCCGCCACGGGCAGCAGAGATCAGCCAGAGAGGATCTGGAGCTCCTGCACACTTGTCAGAAGGCCTTCCAGGAATTTCTACCCGTAGTGACCTCTTTTCATAAGCAAACGCTAGAACCTTCTGCTATTGCGTAGCTGCCAGAAGAGTGAACGGTACAGTGGTGACAGATGTCATCCTCTGCCTTTGGTAGTTTTGGGCTTCTGTAAGCTAGCCAACTGATTCTGTTTCAGAAACACCGAGAAACAGCCTGAGCCAAGAAGGGGGCAGTTTTGATGCCTTTCATCTTAAATCCTGCCAGGGCCCAGTGTGTACGTAGCTGCGCGGACTTAATGCAGGAACCGTGTATGGTCTTGTGGCAATAACATTCAAGGACTAAGGAGCAAAGTGGAGCGGTTGCAATCCAGATGTTTGTTCCTTCTGAAAGCAGCATCGCACATCTTGTCTGGGCGAGGCACTAGGGACCAGAGATGAAGGAGCACCCGGTATGAGAGCCAGACAGGCAAGCAAGGGGGGTGGGTGTGCATGCAGGGGAGCCTGGGGGAGAGCCCAGGTGCCTGGGTCCTGGGGCAGGGTGGGAAGGTTTCTTTGAGGAGATGACCGAGGAACAACCTCTTTAAAGACAAGCGGACAGTGCTCTGGGTGCTGGACCCCGGGCAGGCAAAGTAGCTCCGGGAAGCGCAGAGGCTACACAGAGAGAGCATGGCCCGTGAGGGAGCTCTGATTGGCTGTGGGACGTAAGTGGGGTGGGGGAAGTTAGATAGGAGCAGCCCCTGGTGACTCTCCCACACCTTGCAGAGAGGGTTGAATTCTGGCATGAATCCTGGGGGGAAGGAGGGGAGTGTGGAAGGGTTCTAGGTAGAACAGAGAACAGAGAAGCCATGAGACTGCATCTAGAAATACCACCACTGCGCTGTGGGACGTGGAGCAGAGTGCGAGGCTGCAGGCCCATGCAGTTGAACAAACTCTTGTTGACGTCTGTGTATGGGGCATGCGGACACATGTGGGGAACGCAGGTGATGTTCCTTGCTGTAGGAGCTCACGATGAGCAAGAGAGAGAGACCCACATGGAAACCAGAACGAGCTGTAAGGAGGAGGCAGGCAGGAGGGCGGGCAGCCAAGGAGTGCGTGGACAGGGCAGGGCAGATGTTAGAGCTATAGTCAGATTGAGGCCCAGAGCAGAAGGGCTTTGGATGCTGCTGAATCAAGGGCTTTATTCTCGAAGCAGCAGGATCCTTGGGGACATTTTGAGTAGAGGACGAATATCATCAGAGCTGCTTGCAAAAGTAAGGCTCCAAGCACTAATTCCACAACTGCTTACAGAATATGCCCCCTTTCACATCAACAGTACAGTGACTCGCGTGTTTTCGTTTTTTGTTTCTTTTTGGGGTTTTTTTAGCGGGGAGAGAGAACCCAGTCTCTGAGAAATGCCAAGATTTTGAGTGTACATCTTAAAGTATTACAAAGCTGGATCTCTTGCTCTGAATTGTCACTTCTTCTTCACCCTAAGGTGAACTTTTATATCGGTGAAAAAGATTTCGGTGGTCATTTTCTCGACAAACTCAGGCATTCTGAAAATAGGTCCATCTAGGAAACTCTGGCACGTGTTAGTGGGGCCCAGTGTGAATGCTAAGGCATCACCAAGGCAGTCCTAATTAGCAACACCCCAGCACACCCCTGCCTTCCTGGTGCCATGGGGCCTTCTGTCTGATGCGAGCTGGTAAGAGCTTTCTTACCCTGAGCCCCAGACATGCTCTGGCCTGGTCTCCCATCAACAGCTCTTCATAGGGTGAGGGCACTTTGGAATCAAGGCCTTCCACCCTAGGAGGATGGAGATAGGCCTTCATTTGTTCTACAAAATCTGCCAAGGTTCTAGGTGCTATGGATAACAGCAGTGACCAAAACAAGTGAAAAATCCCTGCCTTTGTGGAGCTTACATTTTAGTGGGGAAACAAACAGTAAACAAATAAAATATGATATGTCCCATGAAGCCAGGCTGGAGGGTTGGGGTGCTGAGTGGGGAGGCGATGGTGTTAGGCTAGGGACCTCTCTGTCTGTTGAAGGGGCCTGTGGTTACCCCAACATCTCCCCACCCCACCCAGACCTAAATGCCTGGGTTAGCCCTGCTTACCCACTGGCTCGTTCATTCTTGATTTCTACAAGCATTCCTTTCTGCACCTACTCTGACCCTGCACCGCGGGGTCCTGGGGAATGGAAGTTCCAAGCACATTCTTGCCCTCGAGTTGCTCATAATCCAGTGGGTGAAGCTACCTTTGTACCCCTGGATACAGGAGTCAGGTGGCAAGGAGGCCTGACCCGTTTGGCCTCCCGTGGGACCCAAGAGCCCTGACCAAGCCATGAGCTCAGAGGGCCCAACAGAGGGACAGAGGGGCAAAACTGTCTTGTGCTCAGCACATCCCTCTGCCTTCACCCTTCCCCCTGACTTGGAGCAGTCTTGTTTCCTGTCTTATTTTCCAGAATCATCAACCCCCAAAGCAGCGACATGTCCAGAGAGCCCTGCAGTTGATGTGTAATGTTTTGTTGTTTGTTTTTGTAATCAGTTTAGAAAAAAAATGGGCAAAAATTGGGGAACTTTAGTTTTTAATTGGCCTGTGTCTTCTGCTTGGTGGTAAATAATGGCAGTGGTATATAAGCATCTTTATGCCAGGAGATTTTGGTCAGGCTCACTGTTGAAGCAGAGTACCTCCTCCCCACTCCACCCCCTGACACCACCCAGGTGCACACGCACACACACAAGCCATGCTCCAGGTCTGAATGGGAAGTCATAATGGGTCCCAGTGTCAGCAAAAGAAGAAATGAGACGGGTGTGACTGACATAGGTTTAGATCATCTCTGCCTGTTTTAAGATGTCATTTGAAATAGTCAAGGATGCATTAGTGGAGAAGTGAAAGACAGAGCATTGTCCTCATGATGCAGATGGTGACAGCGCCCTCCTGCTTTTATACCGGGTCTCCCGTGCTCGGAAGGGTCCACCCCTATGTCCTCTCATCATGGTGTTCATCGTGTAGCTCATTTGCTTCTCCTCATGTATCATCCCCACCTCACCCCTGCATCTCAGCTAGACAGCTGCTGACTCCATCCCAGGGAAATTCAGTGACAGCCAGACTCTCGCATAGACGAGTCCAGAATATTCTACAAGTGATTTTTCAGCTTTCACTGAGGCAATAGGAAATACTGTGTTAGCTCCTGATCTCCTCTGTTCTCATGTACTTCAGCCTCCATCTATCCCCTGGTTATCTGAGGTCTTTGGTAATCCCTGAAAGAATATCAAGGCTTTGGCTTTGAAGTTCAGCAGTTTATGGAGATTATGTAATTTAACCTTGTACTTTCAGAGCACGTCGAATTCAGCTGCAGCAATGTTATGTTTTCCCATGCGGCTTCATGGAAGTTTTGGCAAAGGTCAGATCCAATGCTCATACTTGTGGGTTTGAAGAATAGTAGCCATTTAAGTAATTGCTGTATCAATGGGATTACTGCTCTTTGGGGGTCCAGATGCCTTAGGCTAGACTTACCAACAAGAAATATAGTAAAATTGTGCCAGGGCCCTTGTGAACATTTGCAAGATCCATGTTGCAGTGGCACGGAAGGTGTAGAGCAAGGAGGGGTTGCTTTCCAGAGGGTGATCCTAGAGGAGCCGAGTTAATAGACAGTGGAGAAGGGCCCCTGTGCATGGATGCGGGAAGGTTCTGAGAGGCATGTGCAGGTGTGTATGGGCTGCCAGAGGATGCATGCAGCTGATGGGCACAGGAGACACAGACCCCACCCCATCCCACCCATTTCTTACTTTCCATGTGATTCTTAGTCATAGAGTCAAAGTTAGTAAGCCAGCTCACGGGCATATTGAAATTTTAAAATTTCACCACATTTAGGGAAAAAAATCATCTGCACAGAGGTCTTGAAAGATCAGGAAGGGACTTTGAGGATTCTCTGATCCAACTCATCCATATTATCAAAGAGGCCACAGATGCTCAGAGAAGGGGCATGAGACCTTTGTTCTCTTCAGTTCCAGACGTCTTTAGATATGCCGCCAGGAAGGAAATAGGTCAACACTCTTTCCTCATAGGGAAGAACAAGGAGGCAGTACCTGGGCAGGACGGAGCAACAATGGGTAAGAAAGCCACCAGCCGACACTGGGGGCACAGTGATAAAATGATCAGAATGCAGGCTTGTCCTTGGACAGCTCAGGTTCGAAGCCCAGCTTTGCCTTTATTTCACTCTGTGGCCATAGATTGGTCACCAAAAACTCTAAGCTTCACTCCTTCTCCCTAAAACAGAGCCCCCGATACCCACCTCTGGGGGTTGTAGTTGGGATTGCCCTTCCTCTGGGCTCTCAAAGCTCTTGTCTAGACCTTGTGTTCCACCTGCACAGGCTTAAATGTGATGGTATGTATAAAGCCCCAAACTGCACTTGGTCCAGAGGTTTTGTATCCATCTTCCATTGACTTCAAATGTGAATCCCCAGACTCACACAAACCATGGCTCCCACTCTCTGCAGATTATAAGATGATGATGATGATGGTGAAGATGATAGCGATGATGATGATGGTGATCATGGTGATGATGATGGTGATGATGGTGAAGATGATAGTGATGATGATGATAGTGATCATGGTGATCATGGTGATGATGGTGAAGATGATAGTGATGATGATGATGGTGATCATGGTGATCATGGTGATGGTGATGGTGATGTTGGTGATAGTGATGATGGGGATGATGGTGATGATGATGATGGTGGTGATGGTGATAATGATGGAGAATATTCCAACCACAGATAACCTAATCTTTCTCCTCATGAATATTCAGATAAGCCATGTAGCTGGTGTGGAGCCCACAGCAGAGAGAATGGTATCGTGCCCTGTCATTATTTTGGGCCATCAGGATAGGGGCACTTCTTGGCAGAGGTGAGCTTTGAGACAAGTTTGACAGGAAAAGGGCAAGGAACTCATGTGGTACATGAGCTGAAAGCCAGACAGAAATTCAAGATGATTCATTTGTCTAAAAAGCAATGTCCTGTGAAGCTCTTGATGTTCTTTTTGGATTTTTGGAAGCTAAAAAAAGGCCAAGGGGGGAAATGCTGGTGCTGTGCAGAATGCTAAAGCAGATGCATGTCATTTTTCTTCCACTGGCATACCTGAGTCTTTATTGTACACAACTCTTAGCTAAATTGGAATGGCCACCCATGTCCACAGGAACAGACATTATAATGGCTTCCAAAGCCCTCACCGATCTTCCTGCCCCATACTAGTGTGCACCTACTAGTGTCATCCACACAAGTCCCCAGGGATACAGGGAGGAACAAGGCCACATGACAGAGGAAAGGGACCCCGTGCACTGGGGTCAGGCTGGTTCACGTTCTCAGATCCACCACTCCACTTACAAACTGTGCGACTTTGGGTAAGTTGTTTATAAGTGCTCCC